ACTGTATCCGCCGTGGCATTGATTCCACAAGGTGCTGATAGGTAGTCTGAGGTATCTGGTACCAAGCGCTCACCAACTGGTCCTGCAATTCCCTGACATTGCGAGGGGGTAGCGTAGCAGCACGAATTTGGTTTTCCAAGTAGGAACACAAACGCTCCATTGGATTAAGGTCAGGTGAATTTGGACTTGAAAGTCACTGGAATGTTCCTCGACGATTCGACCCTTATGACATGGTGCATTATCCTGTTGGTAAACACCATCCCCCGCAGGAAAAACTGTTGCCATGAAAGGGTGAACTATGTTCAAGTAGCTTACAAACGTCAGGGATTGTTCTATGAGGATTATGGGTCCTAATGTGCTCCATGAAAACATTGTTCCTGGGCGAGAAACCATGGAAACCTGGGCGAGCCCATTGTTACAGATGGAGGGTGGTCATAATGTAATGACTCTTCGGTGTATATATACATAACGAAAATTAATTAATTAAATTGAATTGATGAATTAATATTTGAAAAACCTGTATTAACATCAAACCACTACAAGTTTAAAAAAATGTAGTTGAATGGAAGAATAAAATGTATTTTATGAAGGATTGATTTGAACAAGAAATATACATATATATATATATATAGGGAGAGTGTGAACTAATTGCAGGAATTGAAAAAAAAAGGGGGCGTGGTATCAGATAACTATAACAGTATAAATCTAGTGACGTGGACCACACGTGATACCGCGTCATGTTCTTTATTGAATTAATCTGACACAGTGAATATAAAATAATTAAACATGCGCTATGAACTATTTTTTTGTTTAAATACAGTTATATGAGCAATTCTACAAATAAACGCAAATTAGGCGGCCAAACAAAAATGAATTTTTTTCGGGGGGGGGGGGNGGGGGGGGCACGCTATTTCTACATGAAATTTCTTCTTTTTTACACCCTAAAAAAGCAAGAAAAAATAATGAACATGAAATTTTTTCTTTGTGACATACTTTAAATGACAAAATACCAATTTTAAATTTTTCCCGATTTTTTTCAATTTACGAACTTTGATTAATTTTTTTTATTTTTTTGTACTAAAACATATATAATATAATCTGTAATATAATAATAACATATTAGATTATATAATGTTTTATATAATCTTATAGTATGAAATCTCTGTAAATACATTTTAGAGAGACATTACAACAATATTTTATTTATGTAAAAATCGTTTTATCTGAATAAATGGCTCAGATTTATCTGAGTATGTCACAAAGAAAAAATTTCATGTTCACGATTTTTTCTTGCTTTTTTAGGGTGTAAAAAAAAAGGAGAAAATTCATGTAGAAATAGTGTGAAATTTTTTTTCTTCTTTTGGCCGCCTAATTGGCGTTTATTTGTAGAATTGCTCATATGTAAGAAATTATCACTAATGTTGTCTTTAAACAGAGTTTTTCGCTCATTCTTATTTAATGAATGAATTAATTATTTGAAACTGTATTAACACCACTACAAAAATGTGGATGAATAAAAAAGTATTTTACTAATAGTAGGAAAAAATAAAGGCCGAAATATAATGCCCAGGATTAATAACAAAAGCTCACGTGAAGCTTTTTCAACCAAGAGGGTTTTTCTTCCTCTGCCTGTTATCGATCGTTTGCAGTTTAAATGAATCAACCACCCCCTGAATCGCATTTTCGAAACATATTGATCGAAAGCAGCCTTTTCCGATGGAAAGATTTCAGTATTTTTTCGCAGACGGATTTTGATGAGACACAGGGGACATTTTACATTACATTTCTTATAAAGTAATAAAAGCGCTTTTAAAACTTGTTTTGTTGTGCAGTGCTCAAAATAAAAAAAAAACGGAGCACCCTGAATAACTTTTGATCTAATGATCNTTTAAAGTTAATTTCTTGTCATATATAAAGTAAGAGTGTGAACCATATTTCAGCCATGATGTCTTAAGCTTCAAAAAAGGTTTATCTCTTAAGCTTAAAAAAGAGTTTAAACGAGGTTGCAAAAAAAATTAAATTGCGCAAAATTGTACGTCCTGTTACTTGTTAATGTCTATTTTTAATTGTAAAAGATCTTTAATGGTCTAAATTGTAATTCATTTTTGATGCTGACCATTAAAATATGAGCAAGACATGTACTAAAAAGAAATGGTACACCCTGAATAACTTTTGATTTAATAACTGGATCTTCATGTTCTAGTTGTTAATTCGAGAGGGTGACCTTAAATATGCCAATTAATCAGTACAGATAATAGTTAAAGTACGTTTTTGTGTTTGGTTTTTTAACTTAATTTGAATCAGCATACCATTTTTTCAACGGATTCGGATTTCTGACCCCCAAAATATAGGCCGCAATCTGGGAAACAGGGTCCCAATACATTATAAAATTTGTTTGTTCAAAGATAATTCCATGCAAAAAAGATACATTTCAGTAAATATTAATAATTTTTTATGACTTCATTTAAAAACAGAAGAAAAAAAATTTTGAATTGTAAGATATAAATTTTTTTTTTTGCATCATTCTAAAGTACGTAATTTTATATGGCAAGATACAAAATCGGTAGAAAAATAAATGAGAAATTGAATTTCAAAAAAGTCAGATATTTAAAATCCGATTTCTCAGGAACTTTTCAACCTTTTTCGCAAAAATTTTGAATTTTGTTATACAGAATTTTATTCTTCAAAATAATGTAAAAAAAAATTATACCTTACAATTCAAAATTTTTTCGATCATTATTAAATAAAATTATAAATATTAACTAAGAGTTATTGCCTACATGGATAAACGAATTTTATAATTGTGTGCAAAAAATCTTCAACTCGCTTAAAAAGTTCTCGAGATACGCAAAAAGTAAAATTAACGTTAAAGGGTCCCAACTTTAGACCGCCCGCCTGATCGAAGTATTGAGACCTTATTTCCCAGATTGCACCTGTCTTTGGGGTCAGAAACCCGAATACATTGAAAAAAAAGGCATGTTTATTCAAAGAAACTACGTTTTAGTGTCTGATTTCGTAACATAAAATATCGTCTGCACTTAATAATTAGCATAATTAAAGTCACCCTTTGTAACCATTAAAATTGAATCCTAGAACGTGAAAATCAGATCATTAGATCAAAAGTTATTCAAGTTGGTTCGTTTTTACTTCGCGCACTGTACGCAAGTCAAAATTTTTGATGGTTTTCCATCGATGGAGCAACATAATCCTGATGGTAACCATCCATCACGAACCATACTATTTTTTGATGATGAACTACATAAGTAACCATCACCCCAAATGTAGGAATGATTTTATGATGGTCCAACATAAGAATAGCAACTTGTTTTGATGGTTTGTTCATGCTCAAAGATTTCCATCATAGCATCTTAGAAATCAAATGTTGGAACGAGATAGAACAACCACCATCCCAATGTAGGGACTGATTTATGATGGTCGAACATTAAAAATTAGTATATTCCTGAGAATTAACAAGAATTCCCATTAAACCATCATGGAAACGTATACTTGATTGTTGTTGTTGTTTCTAATGCCACACGGGCAAACCTGCTTGGTGAAACCGAGCAAATTTAAGGCAGAGTGTACGTTTCTTGTTTTTCAGAGGCGCCCTCTATTGCCAAAAATTCGACTTCTGCCACACGATACGTCACACCCGTTTCACCCCCGTTCATTCATCCACAGATCGTCATTTTGACCTGAATCAGAGAACGATCAATCTCCAAATCCAGTACCCCCAAGAGGTATTGATTTGTTATGGGAGGACTTTTGGCGACCCGACAGAGTTAACGAGCATCAGTCACCATTTACTACACGGGGAGTCTTCGGAAAGGCGGGGTTCGAACCCACGAACTCTCGGACATGGGCCTCCAGCGCCCTACCGACTAGGCCATGGGTGGCGAACCTTTATGCACTAGCGTGCCATTTTTTCTAAAAAATTGTGTTATGAAGCCATAGACGTGCCGTCAGATAATTTTGATTATTGGGAAAATAATAATGCTAAATACTATCAACTCAAAACTCTTTATTTACTACGAAAAATAATACATTTTGCAATGTCTCAGTTGCATGCTTAATTCAACTTAAAGTAACATCAGTGTGACTTCTGTTGTTGCAGATTAGATGACAAATAACTTATATTAGGTTGTAAGATGTTAGTTCAAGCAGGACTTTTGATTTTTTTTGCTAGTTATTTATTGTTAGCTTGTTTTTCATGTTTATTAATTGTTTTCTGGCATTATTTGTTAATTATTTGGTTAAAAATTGTTTATTTTTTTGTTTGTTTACTGTGAATTATAATTTAATTGTTTATATTCTTCATAGTGAACTTTGTGATGGGTTGCGTGCTCAAAATATTGTGCCGCGCGCCATTTATGGCACGCGTGCCATTGGTTCGCCATCCCTGGACTAGGCTATCCCGGCCCACGTATACTTGAAACCGTCATGTACCATCACGGATTGTTGATTATTGAGAGTCAAATTTCTTTTGATGGTTGACTTTATAGTATGAAAGCATTTATTAAAGTAGCATTTTCCATCATGGAAGTCACGCAGTGGATTGATCGTTAAGACACGGTTCCCAGCAGATCACCGAAGTCAAGCATCACNAAAAGATACACATGATTTATTGTATGAGCTTCAGGGGTTGATATGCAATAAAATCTTCCTCGTGCGCTGTAAGGAAGAAATATAATTTCTCCTTTCTGGGTTAGGCATTTTAGATACATCATAAGGTCTGGTGTGATGGCATGTCTTCGGATCATCCTCCGGGATGTTTCCCAGACCGTCGCCCATAACCCATTGTGCAGCTCTAGTGTGACGTAAATTAACAACAACAATAACAACAACCATGATGGAATGATGGAAGTTTGTTGGCATATCAAAAACCATGAACACGTAGTGGAAAATGCTGGTTGATGTTTGAAATCGCACTTAAATGAACATAAACCATCAAAAATGTTGTGATGGGAGAATCAAGAATTTTGACAAGGTTATTGACTTACCACCATCTAATGTCTTTGCTACGAGGTCTTGTGAGGGGGGTCCTGTACCGGCACTGTTATAAGCCTTCACCACAATGTTGTATTTGGTGGACTTGATGAGATTAGTGAGAATGTATTCCTGGCTGTCATTGGCCACATTGTCCACTGTCTTGAAAGAGTAGGGGTGGGAGGAGGCGTCCACCTTGTATCCAACAAAATAACCCTTCAGCTCACCGTTCCACAATTCTCTCGGAGGAGGCTGAAATTAAATCATAATTAAGATCAAAGTTTTTGCCCAATTTTTTTTATTGTTAGTGTAATATCAGAAGATAGCTAAAGATAGAAAAATAAATTAGTGCGTGGAGTCCCTCACCGCGGGAGAAGTTAAACTTCGTAATGTGGAAATGAAAATAGGAAGGGGTAGAAATTTATTTTTAGTGAAATCATATTGTTTCTTTAAGATAAACTTTATTAGCATTGCTTACAATTCACTGATACTGATCATAAATATAATGCACATAATATATTTATGACGCCCGGTGGCTGAGCGGTAGCGCTTCGCGCTGTCGTGCCACAGGTCCCTGGTTCGATCGTCGGACCGAGCAAGGTTGACTCAGCCTTTCATCCCTTCAGTGGGTCGATAAATGAGTACCAAGCATGCTCGGGAACTAAACACTGGGGATTCCGCATTCGGCTGACCACCTGACCGGAACATCTGCTTCTGCACCCCAGAGCCCAAGGTCAAGAAAACTGAGATGGACACAGAAGGCCTTGGCCTTTAAGGGCTGTCGCACCGCTGAGTTTAGTTTAGTTTTTTAGAATTCACAATTGATCGCATCTTTTAATTATCATTTTCGAATGGAGAAATATCCAAATCTATAACAATTTACAATGGGATTATGATAACTAAAGTAAGATACGAAATGTTCGAGTTCTATTTTTTCAATATTTCTTGCAAAAACTGCATCAATGGTAGTTCACCCTGTTGGATCATTCCCACCATTTATCATTTCCATTCCAAATTTGTCTTTAATAATATTTCAGCTTCAGGTAACGAGAAATTCACATTAAAATCTCCTGCAAGGATCACAGGCCGCTCACAATGATCAATTTCTTCACCGTCTGCCTGAGCTTGTGAACCTGCAGTGGATAGTGGCAATAAACATATAGTTTGAATAATTGTTTTAAATTGTCTGCTGATGTAATAACTGCAACTCTAGCTGGTTGCTAGGCAACCAAACGACTTTTTCTTGTTATTAATGTTCTGTTTTGTTTATCGTTGCGTTAAACGTTTAACGCAACCTTGTTGGAGGACGCATTAGAAGTTTCACTTCAAAAAATAGGTAAATGATTGAAACAAAACAAAAACATGAAAATCATGTGTCTCTTCGCTTGTTGTTTCAACGCTGGCAAATTCACAGAACTCAAGAGCAAGAGCTGGATGAGTTGGAGGTCCAGAAATGCATGTACGCATAGTGGACAGCTCTACAAGAAATTTTGCTAGTAGAGGCCCAAAAGTCTTCCAAAACGCTACAGTGAGGTGAAGTGCTGACGATCTTTGGGTAGACATATTTGTGTGAGCAAGAGTTCTCTAGCATAGATATAATTAAAAGCCAACTGGAAATCTAGAGTCTTGCTTAAAACTTGAAACAACCAGTTATAAGCAAGAGGCATACAAAAAAGGCTCATTGATGTAACTATCTATATTTGTGTTTTTAGATGATTAAATAATATTCCATATTTAAAGCCGTTTATTTTAATTTAAAAATCAAATATGTATATATATATATAAGAAAATACTATAATATTAAATATAAAAATTTTAGTGACTCTTTAAAAACTGGGAAAGTTTGCAAATTGTAACTTTTTGCTCTTCCGTTTCAATAGGTTGCCGACCCCTGACTTATCTACATTCGTGAAAAAAAAAACACTTTTAATATATATATATTAAAAGTGTTTTTTTTTCACGAATGTAGATAAGTCAGGGGTCGGCAACCTATTGAAACGGAAGAGCAAAAAGTTACAATTTGCAAACTTTCCCAGTTTTTAAAGAGTCACTAAAATTTTTATATTTAATATTATAGTATTTTCTTATATATATATATACATATTTGATTTTTAAATTAAAATAAACGGCTTTAAATATGGAATATTATTTAATCATCTAAAAACACAAATATAGATAGTTACATCAATGAGCCTTTTTTGTATGCCTCTTGCTTATAACTGGTTGTTTCAAGTTTTAAGCAAGACTCTAGATTTCCAGTTGGCTTTTAATTATATCTATGCTAGAGAACTCTTGCTCACACAANGATAACAAAAATTGAAAATGTATCACGAACATTAACGGGAAAATTGCCGTCCGCGCGGACGCTGGATTCGAGAAATTTGTTGTCCGCGGGGAATTTTGACCGCCGAGGACAGGCGGTTTTTCGAGCCCTGATATATATATATATATATATTAAAAGTGTTATTTATGAAAAGAGGTATATATATATGAGAAGAGGAGAAATTATTAAAATTTCTATTTTTAAAAATAATAAAAAAAAAATTCCTTTATTTATCATAAATCCTTTATTTATTATTAAAAATTATTTATTATTTTTTTCTAAAGATAATAATTATAATTCTTTAAGATAAGTTTTTTTTAAAAATAGTTTTATTTTAATAATTTCTCTTCTTCTCTTTTAGTTAATCTATCTTTTTTTCCATGTTTTCTCTATATTTTTTAACTTATTTTATGAGTTCTATATACTTGTAACTTATGAGCAGTTAATAAAACTTATTAATTTTCTTCGTTTTTTTTAAATATTTTTTAAATTTTTTTTTTATCCTTTTTGTCTTTATTGCGTTCTCTTCATATATATTTTCAAAATTATGCGTTTTGACGCATTTAAACCACAACAAAACGTTTCGATGCCATTATTTCGACATAAGAATCAGAATCAGTAATATTTGAAATGGTTATATGTAATCATACTACATCATCATTATATGTAAATTGCTTAACAGTCTATGATCATTATATGTATGCAGATAAATTTTCTCGGAAACTACTTAAAAATTGATACGCGGGTAGAAAATGAAGGAAGAAAATTAAAAAAATTATATTTTATTGGGACAAAAGTCTAGTGTTTTTGCAATTTTGTTGATGACGATGAGCGTACCATTCCAGAGAGCGGAATAAAATTTTGAGTTAAGTGTTGCACGGTTAAATAATAGTATTAAAAAAAATTATCCGGTTTTATGTGACAGAATCTTGAAATGAAAACGTTTGTAGTTTTTTAACAAAACATGATCCTCAGTGTAAAAATCTTTATAATAATGGTAGAATAACATTTTCAACAAGAAAAAGGGCAGAGATGGTGAAAAATGACTCCTAAAGTTTCGACATGTGTGCGATTTAGTTTTACTGAATGCATTTTATTGACATTGGGAAAGAATAAAAAAGTATTTTGATTAGCACGTTACATATTATGTGTGCGTGTATGTGGCTCTTCATCTCCCTCTAACGTTGCCACTCTCCATTCGACAATATTGTTCAAACTCTATTTTACGCCAGGGGTCTGTCCAGAATATCCGGTTTTCGTGATATTGTGAAAAAATTAACTCACATTCTTTCAATCAGGGTCCGGTTATTGAAAAAAAAATTTTTCAAGGAGTTTTTAAATTGTAAATAGATACAAGATTATGCTCGGCACTGTAAAATTATAATGAAAAAAAAATAAAATTTTCAAAAATAAACAGCAATTGCTGTTTCTAAATTAGAGATGCAACATACAAATATTTGGCCTATACTGCTGAACGCAGAATATTCATTTCGGACGAATAATAGAAGAATCGTCTGCGAAGACAAAACTTAATTCATTTACATCCATATTTCTTATTTCCTGCCCTGGGAAGGGCTTATTCAATGAACAAAACAATAATGAAGATAAACAAATTTGTGTAGGGTCGGATTAAAAGAAAAATCATTTTGTGAAGGGTCCGTTTTTAAGTTAAAATATTTTGTGAAGGATCTGTTTTTATGAAAATATATTTTGTGAAGGGTCCGTTAACGGACCCAGATTTCTTCTAAACAGACCCCTGGCTATTATTGTTAAGATCCGTTTACTTGTAATCATGAACTCAAACCTTCATCTAGAATTTGATTGCATTACTAACTTGCATTTATCTTTCATGGAGAGGAAAACCACGAAAGCTTCCTACGGTTTGCATGGTGGCAAGAAGATTCTAACCCAATGATTCACCAGCACTTTTGATTCAGCACTGTGTTCGTCGCTGACATTCCGACATTTTATTGTCTCAAATATTTTAATGATGACATCAGAGAGCTTACAGATCATAAAAAGTGCACGTACTTCATAATTTAATTTTTTAGTGTGTCTTATGATCAATGTTAAGGTTGTAGCATGGGCGTACTACGCCACCAAATGAGTGTTACTAAAGTTGTCTGAAATCATGTGTTTATTTTCCTGATAGTAATTATTGCAAAAGGTTTTTCTATAAAACTAAACCATCTACATGATTCGAGTGAACTGACCATCACCAGGATTCGGACGTGGTCACTTCATTAGGAGACGAATCACTCAATATCCTAAGCCACCAAGGGTATAACACTAAATATTACTAACATACTTCTTAAATATAATCTATAAATTAAAGTACGCTATATGCGCAGGGCCGTAATTTATTCTATTTATGGGATTATTTAGTAAGAGAAAGGTTTCGCAAATTTTTCCCGTTGCGCGATCATAACTGAACGATTGCAGTTATGAGGTATGCAAAATCTCTCCATTGATTGAAGAATGATATTCTAATGCATCGTATTACTTACTTTCCAGGTGACGAGAATCGAACTTGAACTCTTCGCTTCGATCCAAACATCGGTGGGTGGTCCACTCGGTTCTAATAAAATGAAATGGAATTTTTATTCATTCGAATTTTACACTGAAAACTCATTTCAATAATTACATTTATTAGGATTTTACCGGAAAAGTAAGTTTTCTTCGACGCACGCATAAAATCGAGATCTCATCTCATGAACTTTGTAAGCGAAAATCGCTTACACGCAATTATAAATTTCTTTTATCCAAAGATGGTGCCGTGTCAAAAATAAATTTGTAATATTTATTTATTATTTTTTGTTAATTTATTTACTAAAAGTCGAAAACATTTGGAATTGTAAAGTATAAAATTTTTTGCATAATTTTAACGATTGCATTTTTAAAAGACAAAATCTAAAATTTACACGCATCAGTCCGAATAATTTTTTCGTGCTGTTCATCTTCTTAATTATCACACTTTGGTACGGACACTACATCCTATGTTGTATTACTATATAATCTTTTAAAAGAAATAGTGATGAAAGAAAAAGAAAATATTTCCTTTAATCATAAGTTAAGTCTGAATTTAATACTTATTAGTTCCTAAAAATAGTTAGAATGTAATATTATTTTTAAAAATATAAAAGAATTGTGCACTCAAAAATATAACAATTTTGGTATTAATAAGAACAGTAAAAAGCTATGATTTTTTCAGTCAAACGAAGAAAATGTTGAGCTATTGAAACTATTTTTTGTTATAAAATCAATTGTTACAGTATATGCAAAATGCATTGTAATGGTAACCCTTAATACCTACAAAGTCAAACATTGCATCTAAGAATAAAAAAACAATTACAAATAATATTAGAATCTGGAGAAAGTATCGAAAGCATCATAACCAAAGGAAATATAAAGCAGGACAAAGATTTATTAAATACATATCATTAGAGACCGCAGTGAGAGAGATAAAAATGCATCTTTCATAATAAGTCTGAAGAGTAATTAGGAAAACAAATTATATTTGAGTTCTTACAACTTAATCTTCTTATGGATGGTTTTTCCTACACTAGGGCGCGCTGTAAGCTCTTCAGTGCCTATACTACCGGGTTACCATTTCCAGTGTATTTGAAAGCCATTTAGCTCACAACGTGATCATCGTGTTTTGAGACACTCCTGAGTAGTATTTTTTGTATACGTGTATTTGCTACCTGATTTATTATTTGTGCTTAAAAAAAAGTATCGTCATTTTAAAACCTGACATTTCAAAACGTAAGAATCGTCATTTGAAAAAAAAAAGAATCGTTATAATATACTTCTTACTTTATTAACAATATACTAACGTAATGTAATGCTTTACGTAATGTTTTACTGCTTTCTCTAAAAGTTATTTTCGAGAAACAGTAAAATCCCTTTTTGTTTAGAATTTCAAACAAAAAACTCAGTACAAATTTTATCAGTAGCATTTAAATTTAAAAACGCATTTGGTAATGTATGTTTAAAATTACTTTCATAAGAAATGCAGCTATAATTTCATACATAATAAAGAGTAGATACTAGTTCACATGATAAAGGCGCATCCATTACTAATTTAATTATGCCTCATGTCTCTGAATTTAAAATATATTTTGTGTTGTTTAAGTGTTTTAAACGGTGGTTTTCTATTGAACGAATTTTCCACATAACGAACTTATTATCGGGATTCAGCGACTTCGTTAAATAGAGGTCCGACTATATCCAGTTAGCAATCCAGATATTGACTCTCTTGTGATGGTCAAACAGTATTATACCTCCCATTAACCTTTTGCCTACAATGCTTAGCATGATTATGCCATTCTGGTTCACATAGTGTACCAGCCGGAAGCAAAAGGTTAAAGTTTTTGTTTTTATCTTTGATATTAGTGAGTCTCAAAGTTTTGTTTTACAAAACTTGTGCAACCAGAAACAGGGGTCTATCCAGACATTTTGTGAAAGGTCCGTTTTTGTAAAATTGTGAAAAAATGACTTGTAATGTGTGAATATAAAATAAACGTTAAGTAATATTCTTTCAACCCGGGTCCTGCTTTTGTGAATGTATGCAAATAGGGTCCGTTATAGCAAAAGAAACTTCTTTCAAGGAGTGCATAAATTGTAAAGACATACAAAATTATGCTCAACACTGTAAAATTATAATAAAAAAATTAAATTTTAAAAAATAAACAGCCATTGCTCCTATTCAATTAGAGATGCAACATGCAAATATTTGGTATTTAGCCTATACAGCTGAACGCGGAATACTCATTTCAGACGAATAAAGGAAGAAGCGTCTGCTGAAGTCAAAACTTAGTTCGTTTACATCCATCTTTCTTGTTTTCTGCCCTGGGAAGGGTTTATTCGATTAACAAAACAATAATGAAGATAAACAAATTTGTGAAGGGTCCGATTAAGAGATAAATTATTTTGTGAAGGGGTCCGTTTTTAAGTTAAAATATTTTGTGAAGGGTCCGTTTTTCTAAACAGACCCGTGAGAAAGGTTAGGAACCGCAGCAGGGTTTCAGGATTGGTGAATAAAATAATAAACCCCATCAGAGGATATCAAAAAGGGTACCTTCTTCTCCTGTGATGAAGTTGAGTACATCGGAGGGTGGTCCCTGACCGATCTCATTCTCTCCCAGTACCGTCACTGCGTAGGGTGTGCCAGGCTGTAAACTCTTCAGCAGTACTGTAGTCTGTGTACTGGGAATAGTATCCTCAAGAAGTCTGTGAGGGCCACCTAAAATATTTAAAAAAAAAATAGTAAGTCAACCTTCTTGATGGTTCATGTTGGTTTCAGTGAGATGGTCCATCATCATTTGATGGCCTGCCAAAGACCCGATCTCTTTGACCAAAAAGTTCAGTAAAGTTATCGATGTTCAAACGAAATATAAATCTTTGGCAAAATATGTGGGACGATGATCAAAACCATACCCACCATCTAATCCCGAAGGTTAAATTACCGTAAAATTTATGGAAATTTCTACTTGAATCAATTTATCACAAACCACGGCACCCAGGGTACATACCAATCCAAGTTTCACAATAAATCTCCCCTATGCAAAGTTGCAGATGACCTGGAACATATACTGATTCACTGCCCTCTATTTGATAACATAAGAAAAGCAAATTTCCCGGTAAACCTGACCTATAGCTCCCTCAAACAACACTGGAGGATACCAGCTTTGCAAAAGGGCATAGAACGAATCATCGAAAGCCACTTTAGAGCTGGCTTGCCACCAGACACGTCATAATAACGAAAATGTTAAAACTGTTTTTTCTTCTTCTCAGAACAATGACATCACGCACTGAAATTCAAAGACTTATCCAAACCCTATCAAACTTTTCAATTTGTTATAAAGGTGGAAAGTTCATTTTCCACCTACCCTGAGTTTTATAATTAAAATATAGGACACTTTGTGTATGGAATTAACATTTCACCTGTACTTACTTTCACATTTAAACTTGTTTTGATACGTGGACTGGGTCAGCTCTCCATCTGTTAAAATTAACGACTTTGTACGCCGAGTTAACTTTTCATCTGTTCAAAAATCTGCTTTTTACATTTCTTGCATTTTTACATTTTTCGATACTTTGTTGATGGAGTCATCTTTTCATCTGTTTTGCTATCTATATCTTGAATTCAAGTCACCCTTTCTATTCTTCATTGTAAATACTCATCTTCCCTTTGTTTTTCAAACTGGGAATTGTTTTTGTATTTTTAGTTGATCAATAAAATTGCTCCCCGGATGCCCCCGACAGGGGGCGGGACGGGGTTAAGTGTTGCTGATCATTTGATGGTTACCATTATCCAACATTTTCCATTATGCGTATATGGTTTTTGATATGCCAACAAACTTCATGATGGAAAATGTTACTTTAATACCGTCATGGTCAACCATCGAGAGAAGTCTGTGCCGCAACTACTACTATAAATATTAAATACCAGTTCACTAGTATATAAGACATGTTAACTTGACTCCGTCACGAGGTACCTTTTGATAGATGAAAGTTGACACAGTCTACAATTGAATCCTCTCATTGGTGACCCGGACGTGATAAGAACTTGCCAATATTGATGGATGGTCCGCATTAAGCAGTATATTTGCTTAAAAATATACTGCTCAAAGAAAAAAAATTGAATAAACTCTCCCGGGTCAATAAACAAAAATTAAGAAGAGAAAAAAAAATGAACGAAATGCTATTAACAAAAAATGAAAGGTAAAAATAAACAAAATATAATGAGCGAAAATGATATAAATATATAACCAGCATGAATCAACTGGTGGTTCATCGAATTCTATAACGGATGTAATTCAGGAAGGGGAGTAATGTGGGGTGACTACCACTATAAATATCAAATACCAATTCACTAGTACTATATAATACATCTTAACTTGACAGGGTGCGTAGCGTTTGTAAAAAGTACTTAAAGGTGCTTTTTTGGGGATTTCGTTTTTTAAAGGTGCATTTTTCAGCTGGCGTTTTTAAAAAGTGCTTTTTTTCCCGAATAATTTTTTTTTCTTCCCTTCAGTGATATCTGGTGGATCCCATGCATTTCACGAAAAATGGGGTGTTTGCTACGTAATCATTCACGCGGACTTCATGTCGTACCCACGTTATAACTTGCGCATGCGCGCACACTTGTAACCGAAACCCGAGTGCTCCAATTCGGATGGAGAATATCAGATCCTTATGAAATGTTAATCTTTTTAATTTATTTTAATTTTATTATTGTTTATTTTATTTTACTTCTAACACTTTTTTGACGTAGGGGGTACGGGTACTTTTGTTCTGAGTTCAGGGTCAAGTTGAATGCACTCGATGATTTGGTAAAGTAATGATTGCTTCGATTTACGTCTGTTTCTTTTTGGGTTTTTGTTAACGCTAAAACTGTTTATAAAAAGTGTTTGTTTTTCAATGATATCACTGATTGAATATGAATTTTTTGAGTGTTTGAAAATCTTTGTAAAGTGCTAGAAAAGTTTTTAAAAAGGGCTTATTTTTGATTCAAAGATTTGGCTACGCACCCTGCTCGATTCTAACTTGAGATACCTTTTGATCCCCTCAAGTCTGATAGACCAACAATCTTTGATGGTCTATGATGGTTCCAACTATGCATTTCCATGACGAATTAACCTATAGGCACACTAGGCATGTGCCTAGGGCCTACGAAATTCAGGGGCCTACGAAAAACTTGGCAGAAAAAAATAAAAAATAAAAAAATAAACGTAGTGGAATCAGAAAAACAGTTTTGTTTTTCTGATTCCACTACGTTTGATTTTTTTTTCTTTTCACGATAAATTTCGCACTCAATAAATTCTTTTTATTCATAAATTTTATCATTAGGTTTTTTTTTAAAAAATTCCGTTGATCTTGCCTTGTTCCGGGTTTTAATATTTATGCTAGTGCCTTTTTTAACTATCGTTTCGGTTCGATAAGTTTTAGATTAATAAGTTTAATAAGTTAAGATATTTAGATTAATAAGTTTTCCTTTTATTTTATTGTTCCCCCCCGTTTAATTAGGTATGAAATATATTGCGTTATTTAATCATTGGTTTTGTTTATATAAGTTAATTTAGGAATTGTAATTATTTTTAAAAAATAAATATGAGAATTTTGTATTTTTTAAACTTGATTTTCTTGTNAGGGCATAGAACGAATCATCGAAAGCCACTTTAGCGCTGGCTTGCCACCAGACACGTCATAATAACGAACTCAGAACATTGACATCACGCACTGAAATTCAGACTTATCCAAACCCCATCAAACTTTTCGATTTGTTGTAAAGGTAGAAAGTTCCCTTTCCACCTACCCTGAGTTTTATAATTTAAATATAGGACACTTTGTGTATGGAATTAACATTTCACCTGTACTTACTTTCACATTTAAACTTGTTTGATACATGGATTGGATCAGCTTTCCATCTGTTAAAATTAACAACTTTGTACACCGAGTTAACTTTTCATCTGTTCAAATATCTGCTTTTTACATATCTTGCATTTTTACATTCTTCGTTACTGTGTTGATGGAGTCATCTTTTCATCTGTTTTGCTATCTATATTTTGAATTCAAGTCACCCTTTCTATTCCTCATTGTAAATACTCATCTTCCCTTTGTTTTTCAAACTGGGAATTGTTTTTGTATTTTTAGTTGATCAATAAAATTGCTCCCCGGATGCCCCCGACAGGGGGCGGGACGGGGTTGAGCGTTGCTGATCATTTGATGGTTACCATTATCCAACATTTTCCATTATGCGTATATGGTTTTTGATATGCCTACAAACTTCATGATGGAAAATGTTACTTTAATACCGTCATGGTCAACCATCGAGAGTCTGAGTCTGTGGCGTAACTACCACTACAAATATTAAATGCCAGTTCACTAGTATATAAGACATGTTAACTTGACTCCGTCACGAGGTACCTTTTGATAGATGAAAGTTGACACTGTCTATAATTGAATCCCCTCATTGGTGACCCGGACGTGATAAGAACTTGCCAATATTGATGGATGGTCCACATTAAGCAGTTGATTTGCTTAAAAATATACTGCTCAAAGAAAAAAAAATGAATTAAGTCTCCCGGGTCAATAAACAAAAATTAAGAAGAGAAAAAAAATGAGCGAAAATGGAACAAAAAATGAAAGGTAAAAATAAGCAAAATATAATGAGCGAAAATGATATAAATATATAACCAGCATGAATCAACTAGTGGTATCCATTCATCGAATTCTATCACAGATGTAATTCAGGAAGGGGAGTAATGTGGGGTAACTACCACTATAAATATTAAATACCAATTCACTAGTACTATATAATACATCTTAACTTGACAGGGTGCGTTGCGTTTGTAAAAAGTACTTAAAAGTGCTTTTTTGGGGATTTCGTTTTTTAAAGCTTTTAAAGGTGCATTTTTCAGCTGGCGTTTTTTAAAAGTGCTTTTTTTCCCGAATAATTTTTTTTTCTTCCCTTCAGTGATATCTGGTGGATCTCATGCATTTCACGAAAATAGGGGTGTTTGCTACGTAATCATTCACGCGGACTTTATGTCGTACCCACGTTATGACTTGCGCACGCGCGCACACCGAAACCCGAGTGCTCCAATTCGGATGGAGAATATCAGATCCTTATGAAATGTTTATCTTTTTAATTTATTTTAATTTTATTATTGTTTATTTTATTTTACTTCTAACACTTTTTTTGACGTAGGGGGTAAGGATACTTTTGTTCTAAGGTCAGGGTCAAGTTGAATTCACTCGATGATTTGGGAAAGTAATGATTGCTTCGATTTACGTCTGTTTCTTTTTGGGTTTTTGTTAACGCTAAAACTGTTTATAAAAAGTGTTTGTTTTTCAATGATATCACTGATTGAATATTTGAAAGTTTTACAGCGGCCCAGGCCAATAGGACCATACGCCAAATACAATGGAATACATTAAAAAAAAAGGTCAACATACCCTTATATATAAAATACAAAAAATATACCTAGAAAAATCGGGATGGCAACAGGCCATTTACATAAATTAACATTAATAAAATGTTTAAAAATATCAGGTCAACAGACCCTTATAGCCTTAAAAAATTGTCCTATTTTACATAGCATTTTGCCATCACTGATTGAGTATGAATTTTTTGAGTGTTTGAAAATTTTTGTAAAGTGCTTGAAAAGTTTTTAAAAAGTGCTTATTTTTGTTTCAAAGATTTGGCTACGCAGCCTGCTTGATTCTAACTTGAGGTACCTTTTGATCCCCTCTGATAGACCAACAATCTTTGATGGTTCCAACTATGCATTTCCATGACTTGTTTGGTTCTCAAGAATATGCCATCACAGAACAATTTGGTGTTCGTCCATCAGTCGGAATTCCTACATCGGGATGATAGATGAGGGTGCATAATGGCATAACAATGCATTTTCACGAGGGTTTAATAACAGTTCTTGTTCATTCAGGACGCTGTGGAATATACCATCAAAACAATTTGGCTGTTTTTTTGTTGGCCCATCATAAATCAGTCCGAATTTCTACATTAGGGTGATGGAGGTTCATGCAATGGCGCCGGCAGAATAACATAAAAGGGGGTGCAACCCTCTAACAAACTGCCCCCCCCCCTTCAAAAAAAAATTAAAGTATTCTCTTATTACATTTTGTTTTGTTATTACATATACTTTCATCTGTTAATTTTTTTCAACATACATTTCTTCATAGTTAACAAGATATTTAAAAAAAGTGCGAATTTTTCGTGCTTGCAAATTTTGCCATGAGAAACTGTATTGATGGCGCTGGCATAGTCTACTACTATAGACTATAATATCAACTTTAATAAAATAACCAATTTTCATACATTCATTGTTTGTCATACTTTTCATTGGTAACAGCGAATTTTTGAAATTTAATATTACTCATTACTTAAATCTTTCTCTCAGCTTTAAAAATACGGATTAAATTTTTCACCAAAGAAAGAAATTTTATTTTTGCCAAAACAGGGTGACAAAAAAAAACTTTAGGGAGGCGTATACAAAAGATATTATTTAATAAACGAACGTTACCGAAATTTAAAACAACTTATGTATACTACACTTATTTGTACTTATACTAACTACTCGTACCACGCTTATAAAACTTGAAAGGGACCATTTTTTGTCATTAAATGAGTCACAAAAATTACTGCAATGATATGAAACTCTAAAACTCTAAACTCAGCGGCGTGACAGCCCATAGAGGGCCAAGGCCTACTGTGCCCATTTCAGTTTTCTTGACCTTGGGCTTTGGGGTGCAGGAGCAGATGTTCCGGTCAGGTGGTCAGCCGAACGCGGACCCCCCAGTGTTTAGTTCCCAAGCATGCTTGGTACTCATTTATCGACCCACTGAAGGGATGAAAGGCTGAGTCAACCTTACCCGGTCCGAGGATCGAGCCAGGGACCTGAGGCACAACAGCGCGAAGCGCTACCGCTCTGCCACCGATCGTCATGAAACTCACTTATCTATATTTTATTACATTCCTTGCAGTAGAATTATTATAATTCTCTGCTTCTTCAATATAATCTTGAGAGATTTAGCGTTACCAACTCCAATAAAAGAAGGATCAAGAGGAAAAAATTATTGAATTCGCGTCTGGGGAATACGATGGCCATTCTGGTATTGAAAAAAAGTCAAGAAAATGAATATTCCTTGCATCTCTATTGGGTGCTTTTAGCACTGTGAGCTTAGACATGTATCACAAACATGTTGGAATGTCCATCTTTAGTAGTTTTTAAAGAAATTTTGGTACCAAAGAAGCATAAAATCTTTAAAATGATATAAGAAAATAAAAAATATTTGGTTTTGAATTTTGTTTAACTTTTCTTTTATCACCCTGATTTGAGTTTTGAAATGTTATAATTTAAAAATCTTGCCGATGAAGGAAAATTTTTTTCCTGTCAAACTCGCAAACATTCTACTAAAATCTAATAATGTACCAAAAGGCGAAATGAGTGAATGAGTGAAAAATTGTAGAAAATAAAATATTATACCTCTGTCTCTCCAGTACTGGATAATATATTTGGTGATGGCACTGTTTCCAGAGTAAGGGGCTGACCAAACGATGCTTGCGGTACGACTCCACACTTCTTTTACTTTCACGTCCATTGGTTGAGATGGAACCTCTGTTAACATGAAAAAAAACGGTTATATGACAATTTATTGAATTGTTATTTTACCCTATTCAAACAAAACAGTGAAATAACTATAAACAAGATCGTATTCAAACGGTTAACTGTAAGAAAAACTGTTTATTAACTCAGGGGTCTGTTTAGAAGAAATTTGGGTCCGTTAACGGACCCTTCACAAAATATCTTTTCATAAAAACGGACCCTTCACAAAATATCTTTTCATAAAAACGGACCCTTCACAAAATATTTTAACTTAAAAACGGACCCTTCACAAAATGATTTTTCTTTTAATCGGACCCTTCACAAATTTGTTTATCTTCATTATTATTTTGTTAATCGAATAAACCCTTTCCAGGGCAGAAAACAAGAAAGATGGATGTAAACGAATTAAGTTTTGTCTTCGGCAGACGATTCTTCCATTATTCGTCCGAAATGAATATTCTGCGTTCATCAGTGTAGGCTGAATGCCAAATATTTGTATGTTGCACCTCTAATTTAGAAGCAGCAATTGCTGTTTATTTTTGAAAAGTTTACTTTTTTTATTATAATTTTACAGTGTTAAGCATAATCTTGTATCTATTTATAATTTAAAGACTCCTTGTAAAAGTTTTTTGCAATCACCGGACCCTATTTGCAAACATTCATAAATGCAGGACCCTGGTTGAAAGAATGTGAGTAATTTTTTCACAATATCACAAAAATCGGACCTTTCACAAAATGTCTGGGCTGACCCCTGTTAGGATACCCTCACCCCCCACTTGCTGATTAAATTTAGGCCGTTAAGCCAGTATTTAATCTAATTCAATATTTACTTTCGACTGAAATTTGACATTTTTAAAAAAAAATTATTTAATAAGAAAGGATAAATTCAAAATTTACGTAACATATTGTAAATGGATTATATAACATTGATACCTATTGTATCGATATAATAATATAGAAATACTTTTTAAACTTGGTATTTATTTTAAAGAAAATGTATTAAATTGAAGTATTAGCGAACAAATGAATTGCTATACTATTCTGTCCTTCATTATAGCATACTCTTTTTGAAACATCCAAAGCGTCAAACCTTTGATATTTCCTTGAATTTATATACATTAATGAATACAAAACTATAAAAGTCAGCATTAAGTAACACATCATATTCTTACATAAACTCATAACGTTTCTATTTTAACATGGACTCTTAAAATGAATCAAAACCAAAGGTTGGGAAATCCACATTGAGAAAATGTATCAATAAAACGTAAATATAGATCTAAATTATAATTGAACTTGAGTAACATAGTTAAAATATGTTTATAATCTTTAAAATATTATTTAGTTTATGCATCATTAAACTTAAAATATAGTTGTATATTATTATGCGAACAGCGTAAATAATTTTGTTTAAGGAACGGTTCTAAATTATTATTGATTCTACGTTAATTGATAGACATAAAAAGTGTAGCTATGCCTCTTGTTTAAAGTGTGCTCTATAGCATATTAGATAGTGTTCCCTTTTTCCTGTTAATGATCATTCACTCTCTTGATATTTCAGGTTGGTACTTTTTTAGAAATACCGATTTAAAAATGAAGCATGTTTAAAAGAACTGTTATTTTGCATTCCTGTCCATCTTATGACTCAATTTGTTTCAGCTTGTCTTAACCCATTGGAATTTTCATTCAAAAATTTGCAAACTTGACCGTTAAGCTTATGATTGCTCACTTGCTTGATATTTCAGTTCTTTGTTGCAAATATGAAATTTTTTTTATCCTTCTTTTATAACAATCTATCTATATACATACTCATTAATACTAGGGGGTCCACCCTTTGTTCCCTGTGTTCGCCGTTCCTTCGAAATGTTTTCCCAGTTCTTTGTGAATTGCTTGACGATTCGAGCTCGCTTTTCTATTTCATTGAATATTTTTCTATTTAGTCTAGATTAAAATAAATTTTAATGGAATAAATGCTGAACAGTGCTCTATCCAAAGCATTAGATTAACAAGGAAGTAATATTATCATAATTTGTTAGGCACTATTGACAAAAGTTGATTTTTTGTTTGAAAGTTTACAGCCCTTCATTGTTTACTTTAAAACGGCGCTATAAGCTTTTATATTAGAAATTTTCCTGTCGGAATAATATTTGTGTACAAAATAAGCATCATTTGGGGAAATTAAGAATAAGATAACTTCGGTTTTTATTTCCAAGTTGTTTATAGAATTAAATTCAGTAAAATTAGGTCCAATCAAATAAATTTTTTTCTCATAAGGGGAACTTAATCAGTTTCAGAATGAATATTCATGTGCGTAGACGGGCATCTAAGCGTAAAAAATTCCTTCTTAATCCTAATTTTTAGTGTTCTGAGCATGTTATGCAATTTAATTTAAAAATTCTGGTATTTACTTTCACAATAAACAGAAATCAGAGAATAAAGCACTCGCCTCCTAATGAAGTGAACCGGGTATGAATCCCAGCAATAGCTGGTCGATGCGAATACCGCACATGGCTCGCACCGACCACAGTGCTGACGCAAACTATCCTTCTAGGTAGATGGATCATAAATTAGAGTCCCCTTGACGTAGGGTTAACCGTGGGAGGTTTTCGTGTTTTTCCTCCGCATGTAACGCAAATGCGAGTGAGTTCCCTCAAAAAGTCCTCCATGAAGGCAAATTTCTTCCAATACTTAATCAAGGAGTTTCCTTGTCTTCTGGATTGTGTTCAAGATTATAAGGCTACGGAGTTAAACATTGGTAGTCATACATCCAAAATTGGGTCTGCTGTTCAACGACAGTTATAAAATAAAATAAACATCTATTTTTTTAAATTAACGTTTAAGTATTTAAATTATCTCCAATCACAACAGAAAAGATTTATCCACTTTTTTCATTAACAGTACGCAAAAAAACTGGTTTACATGTAATATCTGAGTGATATTTACAACAAGAAGATCGTCTAGTTAACATTATTATTTGAAACTGTGGCCTTGCATTCGACGGTGTTGGTTTATTGCTTTAATCCAATTTTACTTATCTATATTGCAAACCGATCTACAGAAAGTAATGATTTAATACTAACTCATGACCTTTTAAATTGGTATGCTTAAAGCAAACAAATGGACAGATACAAAAATCCACATTAGCGAGACAGGGTATGAATTCATTAAATATATTTTTATTAATAATATTATTAACAATATTATTATTAATAATATTATTAACAATATTATTATTAATAATATTATTATTAATAATAATATTATTAATAGTCATTTTATTATCATTATCAATTCATTAATATTTCATAACAATTTCACAATCATTGCATTTGTTTGGAATTATATAAAAATCTCTGAAACGAGTGTTGTCAACATTCTTTCATGGCATGCAATTATTAAAGATAGCCCAGTTACCTTGGAAAATTATTGAATATGACAGAATTCCAAAAAAAATATCACAAATATTTGTTTCGGTGCTGCCATAATTTCACACTAGTTGGTGAGAGACTGGCTGGTTTTAAATGATTCTATGAGATAGTTATATATCATTGGAGACAAAAACTAACTATTTTAAACTCTAATAACATAACTTTTCACATCAACGGTCAGCACATGGAATACCAGGGCCAATGGCACTTTACCTTGAAAAATAAGTGATGGGTTATACAGGACAAACATATAATGGGGCTTAAAAAATACATCAGTGTGGGTTATACCAGGCATTGTCACTCCAGATTAACCCCAAATATTATAAGGAATAGACAGTGATTGGTATCGATTGATTATGGTATTTAGTGTTTAATTTGGCGAAAAAAAGTGGCCCACTTTAACGTAGGAGTACCCCCGATTTAATAATATTTTTAAATCTATAAATATTAAAACGAATCAACTTTCGATATGCATATGCTATGACGGTCGTTCATAAAATCTCTTGTTAACGTAACGTCTTTTTTTTCTTCTTTTTATTTCCAATGCCCACCTGTGTTTACAGTCATATTTGTCAGTTCAGACATTTACAAGGCAGATTTGTTGGATACTTTTTCTGGGACACCCTATTAGGTGGACCAACGCTGCTCCCACTGTAAAAACAGATAGCACAGACAATGAATTAACATTCATGCCTTGCCCGGGATTCGAATCCCGAGCCTTTCTGATGCTAAGGGCAGTTCTCTGATCCCTACACCGTCCGGTCGGCTGTTGGCGCCACATTAAAATATTTGTTTTCTCGTGGAATAATTGTTTTGTGGCGAGCAATATGAGGGCAATTTATTCTCATCATTCATATTGGCCGTTATAGCCAGGTTGGTAGGGCACTGGAACCATGTCCAAGAGGCCGTGGGTTCGATTCCCGTCTGTCGAAGACTCTCAAGTCAGTAAATGGTGACTGATGAAAGTTAAATCTGTCGAGTCTCAAAGTCCTTCCTGTTCCCATAACAAATCATATTTCTGGAGGGTACTGATTCATGAGTTTCATTGTCTTCTGGATAGGTTCAAAATTACAAGGCTATGGAGTACATTAGTAGCAGGGGTTTGCCCAGACATTTTGTAAAGGGTCCGTTTTTGCAAAATTGTGAAAAAATGACTCGTAATGTGTGATTATAAAATAAACGTTAAGTCACGTTCTTTCAACCAGGGACCTGCTTTTGCGAATTTGTGCAAATAGGGTCCGTTACTGCAAAAAAAGCTTTTTCAAGGAGTTTTTAAATTGTAAAGACGTAAAAGATTATGCTTAAAACTGTAAAATTATAGATAAAAAAAATAAATTTTAAAAAATAAACAGCAATTGCAACTACTCAATGAGAGATGCAACAAGCAAATATTTGTTATTTAGCCTATACTGCTGAACGCAGAATATTCATTTCGGACGATTAATGGAAGAAGCGTCTGCCGAAGACAAAATTTAGTTCGTTTACCTCTGTCTTCTCCCCCCCCCCNTTCTCCTCCTCCCTGGGAAGGGTTTATTCGATTAACAAAACAATAATGAAGATAAACAAATTTATGAAGGGTCCGATTAAAAGATAAATTATTTTGTGAAAGGGTCCGTTTTTAAGTTAAAATATTTTGTGAAGGGTCCGTTTTTATGAAAAGATATTTTGTGAAGGGTCCGTTAATGCAATGTTTCCCAACCCCCAGTCTGCAGACCGGTACCGGGCCATTGATCAAATGGTACCGGGCCACCCATTTCATTGAAACTGAATTTAAATTCCCAGGTTTATACCCCAAATTAAAACTATTTGCATTCCATTAAAATTTTATTTATTTTAAAAAAAAGGGGCCCCCGAAGGTAATAACATAAATTTTTTAATGTTTTAAGAAGGAAAAAAAAAAAAAGAAAAAGAAACCCACTGCAACGAATTTCTTTTTCATTTAGTTATAATAAAACAAAATTAATCATCATAACTGTAAATATCATAAATAAAACACGAAAGCGGGGGGCGAAATTTACATTGGAACTAAAGAACTTCGTCTTCTCTCTTGATCATGACTCATTGATTTAACGTTCTAGTAAGTTAAAATGTTAAATCACTTTATATTTATTTTTTTGGTGTAGCTGCATTTTATTTTGAAGGCATGCTTAAATACAGTTAAATTAATATTAATAAATCAAAATATAAACAATCAACGTCACCCCCCCCCCAGCGGGCAGCGGTAAAATTAACAAACGTTGACAGGCCCGCTGTGATATCATCGTTAACGGGCCCAAATTTCTTCTCAACAGACCCCTGCATACCTCTGATTCAGGAGTTTCCTTGTCTTCTGGATAGGTTCAAAATGACAAGGTTACGGAGTTGAACATTAGTAGTAAACAAAAAAAAAGGGGTCAACGATGGTTATAATATAAAATCACTCCTACCAACTACTAATAGTTTGAGGCTCCTTTCATCGGTTCCGTATTCGTTTTTAGCCATACATCCGTAGAGAGCTCCGTCATTTCGATCCGATGTTCTGATGATTAACTCTGAACTCAATCCCTTCTCAACATCTCGATCGAATTTTTCAAGCCTGCAAAAAAGAGAATCGAAATATTTTAGTCAATACAGTCAGTAATTATGATGTTCTGATTAGCTTTATGTGATCCGTTCAAATCATAAGCTAAAAACTTTCAGGATTGAAATTATAAATTACAAGTGGGCTGCGCCCCCTGCTCGCTAACGCTCGCCAACCCCCGAAAATTGCCACGCAACCTTATATGGATTACTTCGCAAACCAAGTTCGCTTCGCTCGCTACTAACTTAGGTTCATTGGAAATGCACAAAATTCTAAGAATTCCAAACAATCATTCAAATCCATACAACAACTTTAAAAAAAAAAAAAATTACATCTTTTTAGTAAATACTAGGCCATTAAAATAAATTTGAATTCAAATAAATGACATGTAATTCGTTAAACCTATTATAGAAATGTGCTATCGTATAAAATCTTGAAGCGTAACAGCACGACTGAGACTCATTTTTCTATGGATAACTAATAACAATAATAAAACAAATAAATTCGTGATATAAATCAAAAATTGTCAAATAAATTCGTGAAAAAAAGCGCTTTCGACAAAATACTAAAATAGAGATCTATCGGCAAAGACTACTCACTTCTGCCTAGCTTATGCTCTCTCTGGTTATTTCAGTCTCCGTTTTTAAAAGCGCTATATGTTGAGCCATCTCATCTAGAATTGGCATGTGACATTTTTAGCGGCAATCATAGGTCGATATCTAGCGTTTCCATTCGGGGAGTTGTAATGAGGTTTTTTTTGTCACCGTGTAAGAGAAATACATATATAGATAAGGCAAAATTATAGTTAAATTAATATTGTTATCCTTAAACTAGGAGGCTAAGCCCCCTGGGCTCTCACCTACCTTCGCAATAATTGCTGTATTTTGTCATGAAACAGTAGAAATTATTCAACTAAATATATAGATACTAAAAAGAACACTTCTGCCGCCACTTCCCATGTCTAAATATTTTATTCTCTTATGATACTATTATGTGAACATAAATCATTTTTCTAAGTAATCATTTTTTGAAATAATATGTAAATTTAAAAGTTTATTGTTTTAATACATTTGGTGAATTCACAACTGTCATTTACTATTTTTGCTCGCCAAACGGACGGATATATTTCAAATGTAATTTTTGCTCTCATCATTTTGTGCATGAAGCTGAAATTTAAGTTCTAAACCATTTAACAAATCTCTTTCTGTATCTTAACGTTCCAAAACAAGCATTATAATTTTTTTTTTAAAAGTCAATTCACACTTATTTCAACAAAGAAACATTTTATTTTAGTTATTCAATAATTACAATTCTTCTTCCGATATAAAACTAAAATTAATTCATCAAATTTAATGAATGAATTAATATTTGAAGAAAAAAAAACTGTTGCTTGACTGTTTAGGCAGAGGGGTGCGATTGTTCTTGTTTTCCAGTCGATGCCAACTATGGCCAAGAATTCGACTTCTGCCACACCATACGTCACAATCCGTTTTATAGGGCGGACCCATTCATACATCCATTCATTCATCCACAGATCGTCATTTTGACATGAATCAGAGAACGATCGATCTCCAATCCAGTACCCTCAGAGGTATTGATTTGTTATGGGAACATGGAGGACTTTGCAACTCAACAGATTGAACGTGTATCAGTCACCATTTACTACACGGGGAGTCTTCGGCAGGCGGGGTTCGATCTCTCGGACATGGGCCCAGCGCCCTACCGACCAGGTCCGAAAAAAACTGTATTGACATCAAGTATCATCCACTACAAATTTAAAAAAAAATGTATTTGAACTTGAATGGATGAATAAAGAGTAATTTATTAAAATTTGAACGAAATCTAGGGAAAGTTGGAACTAATAGTTGGAACTAGTGGGCTGCTCCCCCTGCTCGCTGACGCTCGCCAACCCCCGAAAATTGCTACGCAATCTTATATTGTTTGCTTCGCAAACCGAGCTCGCTACCAACTTAGGTACATTGCAAATGCACAAAATTCTAAGAATTCAAAACAATCATTCAAATCCAAATAACAACTTTTTTTTTAAAAAAAATTACATCTTTTTAGTAGATACTAAGTCATTAAAATAAATTTGAATTTAAATAAATGACATGTAATTGGTTAAACCTATTAGAAATGTGCCATAGTATAAAATCTTAAAGCGTAACAGCACGAATGAGACTCACTTTTCAATGAATAACTAATAACAATAATAAAACAAATAAATTCGTGATATAAATCAAAAATCGTCAAATAAATTCGTGAAAAAAAGCGCTTTCGACAAAATACTAAAATAGAGATCTATCGACAAAGACTACTCACTTCTGCCTAGCTTATGCTCTCTCTGGTTATTTCAGTTTCCGTTTTTAAAAGCGCTATATGTTGAGCCATCTCATCCAGATTTGGCATGTGACATTTTTAGCGGCAATCATGGGTCGATTTTCTAGCGTTGCCATTCGGGGAGTTGTAATGAGGCTTTTTTTGTCGCCGTGTGAGAGAAATATATATATATAGATAGTTATAGTAAACGGTATAGTTATAGTAAACGGTGAATAATATTAGACACCGATTTAAGTAACTTTACCTCAAAATCTAAAGTGGAATTAAGTTATTATAATAATGATTAAAACAATCTTCTTAAACTCTTAAATTAAAAAAATAAACAAAATCAAAAACGTAATAATAACCAGTCGAGGTAACCTTTAAATTAGGGGTGCAAAAATATTTATAAGAAAATAATAACTTTATGACTTATATCAATTTTATGCTGAAGACATCTAAACCCATATGAAAAATAATATAGGAAAACTAAATTTCACAATTGTGATTTTTCAACCAATAAAAATGTGTTGAAAACAATGACAAACTGTGACAAAATAATTAGATTTTTTAAGTAGTAAGACGCAATTAATTATAGGGAAAAGTTTTAATAGTTTTTTAAACTTGTGACTATTATTTCAAAAAAATGAAATTTTTAAAAATTAAAAATACCGTTGATCTGGTTAGTGCATTTTTTGGAAGCATTTCGTGAAACATAATAAACACTGTAGCGTATCTACAAAATTACAACCACAATTCACTAGTATGTAAGAAACGTTAACTCGTCTCTATGTCCGGGTACCTTTTCATCGATGAAGGTTGACATGGTCGATAACTACTCTCCCCATAAACACTACAAAATTGTTTATGGATGGAAAAATAAATTTATGATACAAGAGCGAAAAATATAGTAATTGTCAGAAATTACTTTATATTATAAAACATTCTCAATAATTCCGTATTTATGTAAATAATGATAACAAAATGCACTTACGGTGCTTTTTCGTTTAGAAAAGTCTATATTAAAGCCAAAAAAAAAAGTATTTAGTAGACAATTTCAGGATAGTCATTTGTGTAACATTAAGTGACCCCTGCGGCCTATGGAGGATCTTGCCTTATATTGTACTTCGCGCAAAAAAATGAACGAAATAACTTTTGATCTCATGATGGGATTTTTACATACTGATTCTATCTTAATGGTTCGAGAATATGTAATTTGAGCTGACGATATTTTAAGTGAACAAAAACGTGCTAGTGTGCGTCACATACTAAAACGTACTTTCTTTGAATAATCAGATTTTTTTCAAAAATTTGTCTTCTCAGAAGCTAATCGACCTATTTCGTGCAAATTTTGTATTTTCCTTTAAAATTACATTCTTTAAAATGATATATTTCAGTTTAATTTTTTTTCATCTATTCTTATACAAAATACTAAAAAAAATAATAAATAATCATTAAAAACTAGTTTTTGTGTCGTATTATCTTTAGGTAAAAGAATTTAATAATCATGTGCAAAAACTTTTCCATTCGCTTGCTTATGTGCGAAATACGTAAAAGGTAACATTAACATTAAGGGTTCTACACTTTCTAACAGCTCTCGTGACTAAAGTTGTTGTTGTAGTTCATTTACGTCACACTAGAGTTGCACAATGGGATATTGGCGACGGTCTGGGAAACATCCCGGAGGATGATCCGAAGACATGCCATCACAATTTTGATCCTCTGCGGAGGGAATGGCACCCCCGCTTCGGTAGCCTGACGACCTGCGCGCGAAGTCGAGCACTTTATAGTAGCACAGCTTAACGAGGACCCATGCCGCACACCATCGGTCCCTACGCAGACTGATCCAAGTGGTCACCCACCCGCACACTGACCGTAGCCAGTGATGCTTGACTTCGGTGATCTGCTGGGAACCGTGTCTTAACGATCAGTCCACTGCGGGACCTTGACCAAAGTATTAGGGTCATACATCCCAGACAGAGGAGACATTCCCTATTTTGAGATCCAAAAATCTGATTCCAACGAAAAAAGGTATCTTTATTCAGAAAAAGTACAATTTTGTAGCTGATATCGTAACTATCGTTTGCACTGAGTTCACCCCCTAGACTCATTAAGATTGAGTCCTAATACGTGAAAATTCGATCGTTAGGATAGAAAGTTATTCAGGATGTTTAGCTTAACTTTTTGCGCACTGCAGATCACAAAGCGTTTTAATGTATTTCCGATGGTACGTGTTAATTTCAAATTAACATTTTATATTTTCGTATAGTAAGAGTCTTTAGCAGTTTATTAACTCGTATTAAGGGGATACTGCATCAAAAAATAAAAGAGCGACTGGCTCAATAAAGATGAAGTATATTTCAAAAAATTTCTATTTAAAAACATAAGAATCAAGTAACTTTCCTACAGAAAATGTCTGTTATTTAAAGCCATAGAAATTTACTGTCAAAATATATGGTAATCTGCAAAAAGAGACATTTTTTTCTGTTAATAAATAAAATCCGTAACCATTGATACAGATTGTATCTGGTTGGGTACAGATTGTTTCAGTTTTGAATATGAAAGACTTTGGTATCAGAACACCAACAAATAAATTGATGCATTGAAACAGAAGTCGCCTGGTTTATATAATGGTCAAGAAGTAGATCTCAGACTAGAAAGGTACCGGGCTCGTCGTCTAACAGAACTTCTTCGACAGAACATCTAATTTCAAAGAGAGAAAAAAAAATTCTACGGCGACTCTTTCAAACTTGACGGTTTCCAAAGTCCTAAATCGCAAAAATCGAGCTTATCAAAATATTAGAATTCTGTTTTAATTTGCTAACAAGAGGGTTTTACCCTAACCTACGGAAAATATCTGTTGCTTACAGATATTTTCTCTAGTGTTTCGTAACACGAAATTTCTCTCAATGATTTTCTTCCGTAGCACACGGATAATCTTTGGCAACTTTTTTGCCAGAAATTTTCCGTAATGTAAATTAACCTTTTTTTTTAATTTTTAATTTATCACTTAGATCTACATTAAAGTACAATGAAGTATATCAGTATTCCAGAATTGGGAAAGCGCTATAAAGTATTTCATTAAATATCTTCGTATTGTAATGTCATAATATTTATAATTAATCAAGATTTTATTTCTTTAATGAAAGTGCTCATTGGAAATTTTCAACTCAAGCCATTAGCGAGTTGACCTTCTCTCATTCAATTTCCTCTCCGGAAGTTTCACGAACTCAGAGCAACATTGTTTTCATTCAACAATTGAAGAGCGAGAATAGCTTTCCTTTATATCACAATAAGAGATTTAAAAAATAAAAACTATCATCGTTTGTCGAGGTGATATTAAACTAACGAATAGTCTATTCAATTTGTTGAAATATTTGTAAATCGGTAAATATATCTGCATCTTGAACATAAAATTGTTAGTTAAAGATATAATGTGTTCCACTTCTGCACAGTGGGCCAGCATCCAAGGTTTCGTGGCCAAAATTAGTATTTCGATAAAATTTGTTTCAAAATTTGGGGGCTTTTATTAAGGGGTTTTTATGTGCAGGTAAATTGAATTCATAGTTGACATTTTGAAATACACTAAAAACACCGAAAAAAAAGAAAATGGCGGCTGAAATAGGGCGAGCAAAAATATAAAAAAATAATATAGTACGTTTAAATAATTAAATATAGCAATGAAAATACAATGATTTTCGTCATTTTATATTAAAAATGAAAAGCAAATTATATTTCCGAAGTAATATTACAAAATAACCCGAATTAATTACAAAATAACGCGAAAAAATGAAAAAAACTTAATTTTTGTTTTTCGGTATATTTTGTCCACGTTTGCAATACGGACAAAATGGGACAGGTTTTGTCGAAAGACGAAACATCAAAGAAGACAACAACAAAAAGTTTAGCTAATGACCTCGTGGAACTTTTCGGAACTAATTTTCGAAAGTCATTCAAGCATTGTAAAATGTCAAATGATAAGATATAAACCATAAGTTTGTTAAGAGTATTAACTAATCCAACACATTGAAAAAATATACTATAATTACTCTGATAAAAATGTAACATTAAAGGTGAAATTCCTATATATATTTCTGAAATAAATATTCAAACGTTACAATTTTTTTAAACATATTTTTCATTAAATTGTTCTCTCGTCGGTCCAAAAAGTAAATTATAATGTTTGGAATGATTATGAATACATAATTTGGGATATATTAAAACTGCCTACACATATTTTAGTTGAAAATTTAATTTTTGACTTTTGGCCAAAGATCATGGTTTTCTGGCCCACAGTGTTCTGGTAAATTTCTTGCATAAATTGAAACTCATTTTGCAGATTTTAATCCTTTGTTATTTTTGGAACCATTCTATTCTTCAATTTCATCTAATTTAAAGCTTAAAAGTTGAATATTACGTGCCTTTTTAAATCTGGATTTAAAACGCGAGAAATTATCTTTTAAATGATTGAATTTATAGAAGAAAAATGAGAAGACACATAATCAAAATTTTTATTTCTCGTGGCCATGCATAACACTCATTCAAAATGTCTCTCATGAAAGTAAATTTTGTTCGACTCTTAGAATCCGTCGTGCATTTCTCGTCTGAATCGGATTCAAATTATTCTAAGATATGGAAATATACGTCATCGCACAATTATTTTTTACTTGAGTAGAATATTTATAAGCGATGATTAAATAAGAAGAATATATACAAAATGTATTTTCTCTTAATAAACATACCTTTTTTCATTACTAATTTGAATTCCTGACCTTTAAAATACAGGTTGTGCCGTAATCTGATAAGAATGGTCCCCATAGCTTGGTCAGAAGCTCAGTAGAAAATTTAGAAATTTTAATGCTAATTTTATTTTTTGCCTTTTTCGCTATATCGCTAACTATATAATTCTTGTATTCAAAGCTCATTATAATTTTTAATGAGCTGCAAATGTTAAAAAGGAAAAATTTAAACTGTAAAATATACAAATCTTATTCAAAATTTTAAAAAATGTGATTTTACACAGCAAAAAAAAAAAGAGGAAAAAAACTGAATGAAATCGGTTGAAAAGTAATTTTATTTTATTTTATAACCGTCGTTGAACAGCCGACCTAATTTTTTTGGGTATACGGCTACTCATGCTCAACTCCGTAGCCTTGTCATTTTGAACCCAACCCAGAAGACAAGGGAACTCATGGATCAGTACCCCCAAAGGTATGATTTGTTATAGGAACACGGAGGGAGGACATTGTGACTCGACAGATTTAACGTGCATCAGTCCCACGGGGAGTCTTCGGCTGACGAGGATCAAACCCATGACCTCTTGGGCATGGACCCAGTGGCCTACAAACCGGGCTAACCCGGCCTTTGGAATAGTTATTGAGAAACAAAGTTTTAAATTTGCGATTTTCTAAGAACAAATTAATAACTCAGAAGCTATTCGGCTGATTGTACTCAAATTTTGGGCACTACACAGTGGAGTATCATTCAAATAATCATTTGTTATACAGCAATTTTTAGATACCGCAAAGACCTACGTTATATGTGTATGAAAAATAAATAATAACATTTAAAAACCACAAAAAATAAACTGAAGATGATCGTTTTTTGAATTATAATAACCTGGTGTGTTTCTTGAAATCTATTTCTGCCTTGTCCTTTGTCCAGGTTATGCTCAGAGGTTTATCACCAACAGCTTCGCATTTAAGGGTGGCTGTTTCCCCTCTTCGAACTGTCTGCATCGTGAATTTTTCTTCGAAACGAGCAGGAACTATAACAGAACAAAAAACATTCTAAGTGATTTTCGCGAAAAGCGGTTAAATTAAATTATTAAACAAAATGCATACATCTCTGTGATATTCATAGCATTTTTATCGGGTTTTCCGATTCAATAACTAAGTTAGAAATATCTGCTTTGTTTATTATTTATTCCACCCATAATAGGAGGAATAATACAAAGTACTGAAAGGCGTTCGAAACAACGATGAAAATTTATATGTAATAGAAAAACGCATTACCTAATGAATTTTTTGCATAAATGTTTTCTGTTTCAATTTTGTTTAATCGATTAATATAAAATATTTTTGTTTAACTATTATTTCGAAAGGGATGTAAAATATCATTTTGGAAAGTTAGAAGATAAAAAATGCTGTATTTATGTAAGTATAGCATTTACAAAGCTGTATGCATTGAGTGAAATAATTTTAAATTACATCATTGATTATTTTGAAATAAAAGAATGATTTAAAGAAAATATTTAGCAGATAAAATAGAGCAATGGATTTTTCAAACAACGCAGTTTTGTTAGCAATAGAATGCTAAAAAACACACTCAATATTAAAAAATGTACACATTATGCGAAAGAAATGTGAAATGCACTCAATATTAAAGAAATGTAGCATACATTGTGTGAAAGAAATGCGAAATGCACTCAATATTAAAGAAATGTAGCATACATTATGTGAAAGAAATGTGAAACTCATTCGGGAAAATGAACATGACTTTTTTGAAAAGAAAAAAAAACCTATATTACAATAAATAGAAAAATGCAACAAATACTAGTTANCGAAACGAGCAGGAACTATAACAGAACAAAAAACATTCTAAGTGATTTTCGCGAAAAGTTGTTAAATTAAATTATTAAACAAAATGCATACATCTCTGTGATATTCATAGCATTTTTATCGGGTTTTCCGATTCAATAACTACGTTTGAAATATTTACTTTGTTTATTATTTATTCCATTCATAATAGGAGGAATAATACAAAGTACTGAAAGGCGTTCGAAACAACGATAAAAATTTTTATGTACTAGATAATTGTAATACCTAATGAATAATTTTTTTGTTTAAATATTATTTCGAAAGGGATGTAAAAAATCATTTTGGAAAGTTAGAAGATAAAAAATGCTATATTTATGTAATTATAGTATTTAGATTTTACAAAGCTGTATGCATTTAGTGAAATAATTTTAAAATACATCATTGATTATTTTAAATTAAGAGAATGATTTAAAGAAAATATTTAACAGATGAAATAGAGCAATGGATTTTTCAAACAACACAGTTTTGTTAGCAATAAAATGCTAAAAAACACACACAATATTAAAAAATGTACACATTATGCGAAAGAAATGTGAAATGCACTCAATATTAAAGAAATGTAGCATACATTATGTGAAAGAAATGTGAAATGCACTCAATATTAAAGAAATGTAGTATACATTATGTGAAAGAAATGTGAAACTCATTCGGGGAAATTAACATGACTTTTTTGAAAAGAAAAAAAAACCTATATTACAATAAATAGAAAAATGCAACGCATACTAGTTACCTGTAAAATAACAGATATAGTTATACATTTTATGCAACTTATTCAGTGAAATCAAAATGAGTCATTTAAACAAAAACAATAAACCCATATTACAATAAATAGAAAAATGCAGCACATACTGGTTAGCTGTAAAATAAAAGATATAGTTATATATTTTATGCAACTTATTCAGTGAAATCAAAATGAGTCATTTAAACAAAAATTATAAACCCATATTACAATAAATAGAAAAATGCAACGTATACTGGTTAGCTGTAAAATAAAAGATATAGTTATATATTTTATGCAAATAATATATCGATGCATAATATATTAAAGAAAAAAAAGCATATCTCGTGAAAGAAGTGTGACATTTACATTTTAAAGAAACATGATACACACTATGTGAAAGAAATATATTAAGGAAATTTCAAATGATACATTTGTTGTTTATCTGTATTAAAGTATAGCAAAATGCAATGCATATACTAAAATAACTCAAAGGAATGAATTATATATTTTATACAACTAATATGTTAATGTATCTTCAAATGAACATTTTTGCGATTTGATACAGAGCATAGCAAAACGATTATTGGAAATCAATAAATTACAAAATATTTTAGTCACCTTCATAACAACCCATTTACATGAAAGTAGCTAGAAAAAATCTTAGTTGGGATATTTCATGAACGAAACATATTTTCATAGAGGCGATATACATCATTACTAATCACTATCAATAATTATAATTTAATTATTAAAAGAGATTAGCAATATAATGATATAATATTATTGAATTATTATTTAATAATTACATATCATTATACTCGTGACAAAAATATGAATTACTATTTACTTTCATGATTAACATTACTAAAAGAAAAGAAAAAACCACACTATTATTATAATAATTTATTACATATTTTTACAAATGAATGCTAATTTTTAAAAACAAATAAAGGTAAAATAATAAAATATTCAAAGAAAGTCATCGTTTATTAATTAGCACACATATTTAGTAATATTAAGTTTTTAAGTAGCTGAGTATATAAAATAACTCGGGAACCGAAAGCATTTTAGGTACTAAAAATTTGTAAACAATCCTATGAGTTGATCTATTTTTTCCTTATCTCTTACCAATTACATAGAGTGAGACTAGTTTGTGAATATCTTGACCTATATTATTACTAATAGTACAAGAATAAGTCCCCTCATCACTTTTCCTTATATTTGAAACCACAAATGTTTTATTTGGAAAAAACTTCATTCTCTCATCCGTTATACTTTCAGTTCCTGAAAAAAATTAAACATTGAACAATAAATAGCGAATTAAGAGCTAAAATGCATGCACAATATTTAGTTATACGAGTAAGTTTAAAAAGATTTATCTATAAATATACATATAAATGTTGAGAAAACATGGAAAAAAATCTAATAAAGATTTTAAAAAAAGAGAAGAAAAATAATTAAAAGTTTAAACAGATTTATCGATAAATATAGACATAAATATAGAGAAAACATGGAAAAAAATCTAATAAAGATTTATGAAAAAGGAAGAAAAATAATTAAGAATAATAATTTAAAAAAAAATATTATTAAAAATACAAATTTAAAAGCCGGGAACAGTATAATGAAAATATATGATCTCATCAGCTCACATGACTATATCTGAAAAAAGAGTGCTTTCTAATATTGTATTCATACAGCCAAAACAAAATATATCAATACAATAGTGTGAGGAGCACCAAAAGAATTAATACGAGAAAAGAACTAGTTAAGAAAAAATGCAGACTGAAAGAAAAAAATACAAATTAAAACAATCAAGCAAAAAAATTAAGTAAAAAACAAGAAAATACAGAATAAAAATGAAAAACTGAGAGATTAAATCTTTTCATTATTTTGTTTTCGGTTTTTTAAATTATTATTTTTCTTCAATAATAAATTATTTTTAAAGAAAGTATTATTTTTAGTTATTTTTTTCTTCTCTTTTTATGTATGCATATTTTTTTGTTGACGTTTTCTCTATATTTTTGAACTTATTTTATGAGTTACAGCTTATGCGCAGTAAATCAAACATTTCTTTCATACTCTTTTATTGTTTTATATATGACCCGCACTAAGCATTCGTGATCTCGCCAAATACGATAAAATCGTGAATTCGGCAAAACAAATTGTGTTTTGGCGAAAGTATTGTCGAACGATTTTTTCTACGATACTCCCCTAGATCCTGAAAATTACGTCAATATGAATTTTAATTATAATCTACTGTGGTCCTGGGGTCTGGTGTCAATAAAGTAAATTAAGTAGTAGCTAGGTGCATGTAATCCTCCGACTATTTTTCTCGTAAATATGTGTTGTCATGGCAATATTATATTGTTTATTGAAATAAACGTATTGTAAAATTTAAAAATCAAAATGGTTGCTAAAATAAGAAAATTGAACTTCGATTTTTTCTTTATAGATAACCACTGCTTAATGATAGATATAGTGCAATCACCTGAACTCGGCTGGCAAGAAACATGCTATGCTACCGACCAAATCGCGACAGTAAAAATAAATATACAAGGCAAAAAATAAAAGATTTAAAAAATGAAGAGTTTTATTCAAAATGGAATATATTTATTTAAAAGATACTCAGAATAAAAAAAAACATCTAATGCTGTTTCAGCTTTATTTTTATATTACCTCTCCAGCTTAAGAAATTATCAAAAATTAGCCCCAAACTAATCATATTTCTATTTTTCAAAAAGACGATAAACCATTCACATTTTTGAACCTCTCTCCCACTTATTCCTCATTTATTCTTCCTCTACTGTAAAATGCCTTAATTTGAATTTGTATTTCATAAAATATTTCAATTTATAATAAATTTGATTGTTATTTTGATTTGAAATTTTCTATTGGAAGAAAAAATTTATCATAAACTTATTCGACTTTCTTATATACATATACTTTTTTATATACTTTTTTATATACTTTTATAAACATATTAGACTTTTCAAAATTTTTTGTCACATCCGATTTGCTATTAATTTATTTGTTGATATTATTACATTTATTCGATATTTTTATATCTGCTGAAGATAGATTAGGAGAAACATCAGTGTTTGGAGTACCGGTCAAAGGTATACCTGGCAGTGGCACATAACTAGACATAGTATATATTTCGGACACTTACAGTAATATACATATATATATATATATCAGGGCTCGAAAAAACTCAGAAATTTTACCCGTCCCCGAGGACGGCTTGTCCAACAATGCACCCGTCCTCCGTTGAAACTAACCCGTCGCTTTTAAATAAATAAAAATATAATTTTCTCCTATTTATTACAAACATTTATATAAATTGCACAATGAATTAGTCGTTACTAGGATTACATTATACAGTAATAAAAGAAATACTAGGTTACTAATAGTAACCTAGTATTTCTTTTATGAAATAATTTAAATGACAAGGGTCAAGTTATCTGGAATGTCAAGTTATCCGAGGGTACTGCGTTTTTTAAATGAATCAAATATGACGTTTGCCAGTTCCACAATCAAGCCAATGATTTACAGAGGTTTCTGAACAGAAATCTGAAAGGGGTTTTCCATTTAGGTAGATGTTCATAATTGCTTTTAAAGCTTCTTGTTTAAGACCAGTACGTATTGTGTTTTTTTGTAAGTTTATTGCTGCAAAGCCCCTTTCAACCGCTGCAGTACTCCCAGACAGAGAAAACATCAATATATGCGCAGTATGTTGCTGTATTGTGGGTCATTTTGCTGCCTTGTAACTTACAAGACTCTTGTAAGATAACAAAAATTGAAAATGTATCACGAACATTAACGGGAAAATGGCCGTCCGCGCGGACGTCGGATTCGAGAAATTCGTTGTCCGCGGAGAATTTTTGACCGTCGAGGACGGGCGGACGGGCTACTTTTCTAGTCCTGATATATATATATATATACACATTTTAACATTAACTTCAAGTACTAGGTAACTCATCTTTTAAATATCTCGTGTCTATGAATGTTTTGCGTACATTGTTTTACCTTTTTTCCAGGAAACAGAGGGTTCCGGAAATCCTGTTGCATCACAAGAAAATATAGCCGTAGAACCTTCTTCAAGAGTTAAATCTTTGGGCTCTTGAATAACTGAAGGGGGAACTGTAAACACAAGAGATGGATTACAATATGAATTAACTAATATTTAGAAAGAAATCATAATAATGTAATATTGGTTGTTTAAAAATTAATACGATACGAACTGAGAAACGCCTACATTCATTTATATATGCCACTGTGAATGATCAAAATTGGTGGCTTCCATCAGTGAATAGTGACAATCACATAGTCGCTTTAGTCAATGTCCGAAATATATACTAGATCTAGTTAAGTGCCACTACCCGGTATACATTTAACCAGTACTCCGAACACTGATGTTAAAATATCGAAAATATATAATAATATCAACGAATAAATTAATATCAAATGGGATGTAACAAAAATTTCGGACATTCACCAAAGCGACTGTTGACATTCATCGATGTAAGTCGTCATTCTTTTAAATTTCGGGCATTCACGGTAGCATATATATGTTGAAATAATAGATATAAAACCATTATCTTCATGTATTGTGTACCTTGAAGGGCACATAGATGATGTTCCCTTTAAACCGCCCTTACTATATATACTTATATTTCTTGGAGGAAATAAAGTCAGTCCTTGCATAGTAGAGACTGCTAACTATTATTGAAATGAAAAAAAAACTATCGGAATATAACGCGCCAAGCGAAATTTAAAATAATAAAATCTGTTTGATTGTTAGAGAAAACGGAAAGATATTAAAAAACGAGTCTAAGTTTCTTCAAGCAATCTTTGATGCTTTTAATCTTTCTGTTCTCATTATTGATTAATATTAATTTATCTGCTACTATTTATTAACGTTTTTGACTTTGAAAGTGGACAGTGATTCTAAAAAAAAAATAACTGAGGGTGGTCATGGAAGCCCTTTATGATTTAAACATTAGAGTGGATCGATAAAATAAAATAAAAATATTAAAATGAACTACATTTTTTCAAGGGCTGCTAAATATTAGGGACCGAAAAGCAATGTCGTTTAGATGCATTTGGTATTTGTCACCAAGATTTTATATTTGATCAATATTTTATTCACTCTTTTTAGCAACTATTTTTCAATGCTGGATCGAAAATGAATCTGTTTTTAAAACTAACGAATATTTAATGCAGAAACGACATTACTTTCCGGTCCCCCTAATAAAAGATCAATAAAATAAATATTTATATAAGTAATTATAGAAATAATTAGCATAGTTACTCAATCAACAAAAATTTTCAAATTTTAACTCCAAATGGAATACAGTATTCATTTTATCTATTTAATTCCGTAAGTTTTGTTTATTCATAAGGTAAACAGGATTCAATTGGGTACTTGTACACCAAGAAGATGAAGACAACCCATATCCACACATGTGACCTATGACGTCAGCATCAGCTAATCTTTATCAGCAAAATCGAGAATTAAAGTTGAGATACGTTTCTCTACATAATTTAGAAGGTTTATTAACGTTAAGTTAATTAAATGCAAAGCAGTATCGAATTTGTTTAAATATAATTCTTTCTCGTCTGCTTAAATTAAATTAATTATTTGTTTATGTATTTTATTATAACCGTGAAGCATCCTTGTTTTGTGCATCTGGCAACTTCGATGCATAGTTAATTTGTTTACGTTCTACATGACTTTGTTCCTTTCCTTGTATTAAGTATTTGTGTACATATATTGTGAAAGATTTGAAATCTTTCTGAAAGAAAGGAATATAGGCTGTGTCACTTAAGATAACTGCTACTTGATGGGCTTGGCTTATTCGAAATAGAATGGACAGAACAGTTGCTAACGTAAACAAATTCCACGTTTCAACAACCAATTAGGATAGAGATACCTACACTACGTCACTTGCAGGTATCCAATAAGATCATGTGATATTTCGAGTTCTTTCTCTAAAGATTGAATTAGAAGATTGTAATCAGTTGTACCATTTTTATGAAAAATAAATATTTTTATACGGAATAATTTAATTTAGAATAAATTTTTTGTGCCATTCTTAAAATACACCTTAAGGCATTCTGTCTTTTTATTATTCACTAAATATGCAAGCAATAATAGTAGTAATAATAATTGTGGGGAGAGTGGTTATCGACTATATCAACCTTCATCTATGAAAAGGTAACCCACCATAGAATCGAGTTAACATGGCTTATATACTACTGAATTGGAATTGTATTTTTGTTGTGGTAGATACACTACAGCACTCCTCCATCAAAATTATATCTGTGATAGAATTTGATGAACGGATACCACAAGTTGATTCATTGCTGTTTTGTGAGAAGCTGGGAGAGCTGGATTAAGATCACCGTACTTTTTGAGTGCTGATTGAGAGAGCTGTATTATGTCCACGGTAGTAGTCTCTCCTGTGTTGCCTTTTAACAGTCGAGTGTATACGTTGTGTGCGATCGAGACTGAGAAGCAACGGCGTGAAAAGGACAATGTCAAAGTGGCAAGTAGAAAATCAACTGTTCAATGTGGACCATCCATCGAAGTAGAGAGTTTATATTAAAGTAGGTGTGTCCACATCACGTCCGGATCACCAATGCGGGAAAAGGAGTTATCAACAACCTTTATCTACGAAAAGGTACCCCACCAAAGAATCGAGTTAACATGTTTTGTATACTAGTGAATTGGAATTACATTTTGGTTGTGGTAGATACACTACAATAATGATAATAATGGTAATATTTACCGTTTATTACGAGTTCTGATGAGTATGAGTCTCTTCCAAACGAGTTCGTTACTGTGCAAGAGTAGTTCCCCCTGTGCTCAAGAGTCAGTGAGTTAAAAAGTAACAGAGAATAATCCTCATGGTTCTGTACTGTTGTTGTCGTTGAGGTTTGAAGAACTTGATTGTTTTTATACCAAGTAAATTTAAGTGGTCCTCTTCCTTGAATCACAGAACAGAGTGCTTTCGTTTTCTCACCTTCAGTTAGTTTTTCGGGAAAACTAAATGGCTGAATTCTGGGACGACCACCTAAAATTGTTCACGACTTGTTAATTTAAATGTTTCAATGGATTTCAAAATGGCTATACTTGCTGATAAAAATATGTGAAATAAATTTTCAAACAATTAAGAAACAATAAAAATGCGTAAAATTAATTTTCAAACAATTAAGAAACAACAAAAACGTGTAAATTTTTTTCAAGCAATTAAGAAACAATAAAAACGCTTAAAATAAATTTTCAAACAATTAAGAAAAAATATTGTGCATTTTTCTATAAATTTTTGGCATTCAAAGCATCGTAAAAAGTATTGATGACTATATTAAAAACATCATGGAAGTGAAAATATAATTTATGAACAGTGATATCAAAAACTGTATGCTGCTCTATTGCTTAGCAAACAAGTTTATAAACAATAAATAATGTATTTTATCATACAATTATAAAGTTCAATATTTTTTTTAATTAAATAATAGTATATGAAACAAATTAAATCAAAGCAACTAGTAATTCATTAAAGAAATTGCTAAAAGAAATCATGCTTTTTATTGATAACAACATTTAATCCTTTCATTTATATTTATGGGAACTTTGAAAAGATACATGGAGTAGTAAATAGAATTGTGCGTTTATATGAAATATCGTAAGATAAAATATTTCAATTTAATGCTAATACAAAACGTTCAAATTTAATCCTTAAGTGAATCTTAAAAGTATGCGCTGGCCTAAAAATATTCCATCACCCGCCTATACTTCACTGACTATTGAGGTAATATAATGCATGAAAGTCTGCTTTTCGGTGTATGAAATGCTTAATAGTGATTTAATAATTTTCCAGAATATTAAACCGAAGTTAAAAGCAAATTTATCTTTAAAATTATTTATGAGTAGTTTTACTAAAAGGCTATAACTAAAACAATAGATTTTAACAATTAAAGATGCTGACATTGAGTAATCTTATCCTAAATACTTATTAATTTCTTATAACAAGCTGTTAAACGTTCTTTTATAGTAATACACTTTTAATTTTTAAAATAATGATGTGAGAATAAAGTAAGATATTAGACTACTTTACATTTATCCATCTTAAATATACTATTCTGTTTTTATTCACTGTAATTGTTTTAAGTGTTGTAAAACGTATTTATACGTAACTTTTTAAAACAAATTTATGAAAAAATTGCTTTTTTTAAAAAAAGAAACAAGGCACACTGTACTGAACAGTCGCTGGCCAAATTATTAGACGCACTGTAAGATTCTATGTAAAATCTTAATTGTCTGGTGATACTGTCTATACAATACTTTTACGATGCTTTTTGCACTTGTTTACGTTCCTGTATCAATGGGTTAACATTGCAATGCAACACGTTAAAAATAAATACAAATAGGAAGAATATAAAAAATTTCCGGAATAAAAACCCCATTACATGTATGTTTAAGTATAAAAGTATTGCCTGTAAACTCGTGCAAAACATGTCATTATTTTAAGAAAACTACAGTGCCTCTAATCATTAGGACTAGTTATCATAATATACCGTTATAAGCTTAATGTAATAAACATTCTATATTTATATAATCTATCGTCTAATTTATCAAATCGTCGAGTTTATATTATATATCGTCTGATTTTACTAATTGATACAAGAACGTAAACAAGTGCAAACAGACGCGTAAAAACAATAAAGTTCTATAGAGTATCATCTCATAATTAAGATTTTTACATAGAATTTTACAGTTCATCTAATAATTTGGACTGGAAATAGGATACACATTTAGATAATCATAACAAGTCATATGATGTGAATTAACTTACCTGAAAACATGTCTTCTGTTCGACACGGATGGAAAATGATTCCGAAGACGAAAGCATATTTTAAAGCTCCCAAACGATAGCTGTTGGATTTTCTCTTCATCTTTGTCGACCGAAAACACGGCCACGTATTGGTGTGAAAACAACTTAAGTAGGAACTACTTAATATCTATCTTGTTATTCGAAAATATGAGACGCCTTTAAGTCCCATCACTTCTCAAAATGGAATACTAGCGCCACACTGTGCCAGTCATGGAAATTAAAACAATAATATAACATCGAGTCATGTAATACACGAAAAAAAGAAATACACTGAAAAAAGAAGAAATACGTAGAAAAAAGAAGAAATACATACAAAAAAAAGAAATACATAGAGAAAAGAAGAAATACATAGAAAAAAAGAAGAAATACAAAGAAAAAAGAAGAAATATATACAAAAAAGAAGAAATATATACAAAAAAGAAGAAATACATACAAAAAAAGAAATACATACAAAAAAAGAAATACATATAAAAAAGAGGAAATACGTAGAAAAAAGAAGAAATACATACAAAAAAGAAGAAATACATACAAAAAAAAGAAATGCGCAGAAAAAAGAATAAATAAAGAAAAGAAGAAATATAAAAAAGAAAACTTCGGTAAAACAAACATATATTACTTATCATGGCATATTATTCTAAACATATATTTATTTCTGAATGTATTACAAAATTTATAGGGACACTTTTTAAAACCATTCATTATATTTTTTGCAAAAATGCTGTTTCCGCCGTATTAAAATCATCAGAATGAAAACAGGTTAATAGCGATAAAAGATCGGAAATCTGTGATAAAATACGTTTGTCTTAAACAGCATACGCATAATGTTCAAAAAATTCACGGACTACTAAAAATATTAATAAAAAATTGGTATCAAAATTTAATTAGAACTAATTAAACAATTTTAGAAGTATAGATATAATTGCTGAGCAAAGTGGATTGCATAGGTTTTAAAACTCATTTGTGGAGTTTAACAATATATTAAACGATCATAAGTTACAAAAACTTCAAAACATGTTTTTTTAAGATAACAATAGAAAATAATTCATATAAAAACAACTTGCTGCATTAAAAGTATGAAAAACATTCATCTGAAAAAAAAATACAGAGTCATATTTGGCAAATAATTATAATTATAATTATAATATACTAAGATATCTTGATTGAGTATAATCTATAATAAAATAAATAATACATATCCAGTTTCATATTTTAGAGCCTTTTAAGGACAGCACACAGAATAGTTTTAAACATTGCTCGGTTAGGTATTTGTGGGCCATATTGTTTATTTATTTTTTCATGTTATACAAAATGTTATAATATTTTAATACATGTTATAATATTTTTAGAAAAAAAAAATAAAAGTACGAAAAAAGTACGAGATATCGTAATGCGTAAAATTAAAGTACCAGCCGTGATGGCTCAGAGGACAGAGCACTCGTCTTCCAATGATGTGAACCGAGTTCAAATCCCAGCGATGGCTGGTCGATACGAATTCCGCATTCTGCTTGCACCGACCACAGTGCTGACGTAAAATATCTAGAAGCCTTCTAGATTGTCTTTCCTGTCTTCTGAATTGGGTTCAAAATTACAAGGCTACGGCATTGAATATTGGTACTCGTAAACCCAAAACTGGGTCAGCCGTTCAACGCGGTTATAAAATGAAATGCTTTGGTAAAGCACAAGCGGGGTGTTCAGTAAATACCACCCTTAATATATATTTTTTAGAGTCCTTATCACAAATGATGAGAAAAAAAAGTCTACTCATTGTTTTAACAAATTAATATTTAAGCAAACAAAAAGGTGAAAAGATATCGAAATCTAACTAATCACAATTAAGGAAGACGGTTATACAGATTATTAAAACCTGTTTGATTACTGTGATTAAAGATATTTTCAATAATTCAACTCAGTTATTTTCCTTTGCAAATAAACAGATTTCAGTACTTGCTTCACTTAAATGCGAATTGTCGGATTTTTACAGTATTTTTTGCTCAAAAATTAATTCGCATTCCCAAAGTACATAAACATTTTGTCTTCATTTCTTTGAAAACGATTCTAAATATATATATATTAAGGGTTGTTTTTACGGAACACACTGTATAAATGAAATACATAATGAAGCAGAACTTAGTATCAGATGTTCAATACTAGCTATTATATATATAAAATAACCAGGTTCAATTAAACCATTGAGAAATACATTTGATATTAAAAAAGTGTAATTCATGATTATTGTTTAGAATACACTAATAACAATTATGAAATTATAATAATAGCGTAAGAAAAAAAAGTATGTTTTCGCTCTCCATTTAACTATGGCCGTACCGAGCACAGAAAGCAGAAAAATATGTGATATTTTCTCCCCAACGCCATTCGAAGCTTCGCACACATAATTGCCCTCGTCTTCTTCAGAGACAGATTCCATCATTAAAGTATTGCCCTCAATTTTTATCTTTGGATCTGAATTCAAGTCATTTGTAGCATCTGTAAAAGAGAATTAAATAATATGTTTATGTGCATACAAAAATGTACATAACATTCATGTGAACAGTGCGCAAAAAAAAGGGAACTTCCGTTCATGAAACAGTGCAATCATAAAATGCATGATTTCTGTTCAGTGCAATCATAATGGTTCAAGAAGGTGACTGTCATTAACGCTAAACATACCATAACTGGTCAAATGACCGTTTAAGAACTATTGCATAAAAATCCGTTACATGTAGGGGAGAGTGGGATCAATTGTAACATTTTTTACTTAACTATTTTTAACTGACAAAAAATCCAATATATTATTAGTATTAATTGACAGACGAGTAAAGTAGACTATCCTCTACTAGAAACAAAATACCTTATTTTAAATGTATTATATTAGTTATTAACAATTTTTGACAGTCGTGCACTTGTTACAATTGTCCCCACTTACGGGGTCAATTGTAACAGTTCATAAATTCAACTAAAACATAGTTAATTATACATATTATCATAGTTGTGATATATTTTTTTATTGATCAAAATAGTAGTGATATTTTAGGAGTAAAAATAATAATGAGCAGAGACCTAAAGGGTTAAACTTTTAACTTTAAGGGGTTAAAAATTTTAATTTATGCTGTGAAAGGTGACAAATAAAATAATGCACATGCAACATAATATAAATGATATAGGAAACTATTGGTGGTTCTTAAAGAGTTAAGTAATGGTTTGTAAACATAAGATTATTTATTTTCAGCTGTTACAATCGTCCCTTTACTTATTGTTACAATCGTCCCCAAGACGCCATTTCAGCTTCATTTGTTAAAAACAATGCTAGTTAATTAACAAAACTAATTTTTTCTTAAATGTTAATTAAGGTGTCCACTTACATATTCGGTTAATAATTTTTACGTGTTCAAACAAAATTACTTTGTTACAATATAATACCAAAAAAAGTACTTACGTAGCGTGAAAATATCTTTTGCGATGTAACTCTTTCAAAAGTACATAAAAATGGTTGCCAGCAGGGGTGTACATGTAGTTTTATTAAATACTCCTTGTGCGCCACCTAGGAACCAAATCTAGAACCCGAAACTCGAAATTTTGTTCTGTTACAATCGTACCCTGTTACAATTGACCCCACTCTCCCCTATGTTCTTGCCTATAAACTGGCGCAAAACATGCAATTATTAAAACACTACAGGGCATCTAATAATTGGACCCATTTATTACAATATAATGCTTGATGCAATAAATGTTCCATATTTATATAATATATCGTCTAATTTATCCAGTCATCAAATTTATATGATATATCGTCTAATTTAAGCCCATTGATACAAGAACGTAAACAAGCGCAAACAATCGCGTAAAAACAATGAAGCTGTCCTATACTAGTATCACCTGATAATTTAGATATTACATAGAATCTTAGAATGCGTCTCATAACTCGGCTTAGAGTGCGTCTCGAACTAAACATTACTACAATCCAGATAAAACTAATAATGTATACCTTTAATTTTCCATTTGACAATAGGTGGTGGGTGACCTTCGGCTAAACATTCAACAGACAAATGATCACCAGAAACCAGTTCTTGGTCTTTAGGAAGTGTTTTCCATTTGGGAGGAACTAAAATTAAATAAACAATTTAGTAAAAACTGTTAAAAAACTAATCACAGTTACTGTAATTAGCTCACTTGTCTAATATTGTCAATAGGGTATAATACTCGTATACCGTAAAGAACAAATAATGGCATATATTTTAAAACGTATAATAATGATGAAAAAATGCGAACAAAGCCAGTTTTGTTTAAAATGATGCCTATTTTTTGTGATTAGGAGGCATATTAAAAGAGTTTGTGAAATATGAAAAGCTAAGTTTAAAATGTGTGAAGCTGATTTAAGAGTGTTGAAATTATGCATGTTTTACACGTAGTTTCGCACGTATCTTTTCCATTTCATCATCATTGTTTTTAAAAAATTGTGTTTTGTGTTAATTTGCAATGTTATACTTCAATCCTAATAAAAAGAAATATATTACTCATTTAATATTCAGTTCAATATCATGAAAAGTTAAAATTTTTTCAAAGTTTGCATTTTCACTCCAAACTGTTTTTCAGTCTTTTTTTTCAGACAGGTATTTTACAAGTCTGCAAACTTTTTCACTTGATAATAGTTCACAGTTCACGGCATTGCGTTCATGGAAATCATGAAGGTTTTCATCAAAAACGCTCTGACTATTAAAGATTTGGACCTTCGATTATAAGAATTACTCGTGTTAATAAAGAAGAAGAATATCATTACTTGTAACTGAACTGCCTTAAATTATTGTTTTTCTAACTTAATTTTTTAACAATAATTTTAAAAAAAATAAATGGCATTCATTAACATTTTTACAAAAAAACATTCTGTTACTGATAAGATGAAGCAAAAGTTAGCTTACAAGGGAGACTAGGGAAGTGTGACTCGCCAATTTCGACATAAACTGGAGGGATGTATGCCTTATGAGGAATAATTTTAGGGGGGCAGCATTCGTTTCGCCCCACGGAATGTCCTATGAGAGTTAAAAAAATAAATAAATACATAGAGAAATCGATATTTTATTACTTCAATGCAGATTATTAGTTATTGTAATTATCCAATTCTCCAATAAATTTTGTGCGTACTATATAATGCATATTTATTTTCAAAATTGATTTCGAAAATTTTATATATCTGTAGTTTTTCAGAAAAACATGCTAGGTTAATTTTAAAAAAAATTAGCATCAAATTTAAAAAATTTTTTTTCAAAAAATTTTCCAATATAAAAACAAGTGAACAGTAATAAATTTCATTT